GAGCATCCAGAGAAGGAAACACCACCAAGCAAGGATTTTCAAAGCAAAACTCTCCAATAACAAATAGGTAACATTGAAACCCAAGCCTAAGCACAGTGAGAAGCAAAAAACCTAATATGCAAAAACACAATAGATGTATCGATACCGTCACAGATAAATCCACACACACGTGCACACACACACACACACATACTAGCAAAATGACAAAAAAGAATGTCAATCCCCTTCTCACATCCACCATATCAAAGCTACAAAAAACAGAATTAAGAGTTGACTACAAGAAGAAATTATCAACTGTGATACCCATTTCTTTTGCAGCAATTAATTTCCATTGTTAATACCAATCCTTACAATGAATGAAGGAATATTTAGATATTATGAACCACAAAAGATGGTCCTTTTAGGGTTCCCCTGGCTCAATTTGACTGAGTTTCGGTTCAGGATTATACAGTCATGTGACTTTTAACACTAAGGCTTTTTTTGGGAGTGTTGTGCTGAAACTATGGTTTTCCTGATTGTTAATAGTAAGGCTTCATTAGTAAAAATATATAAAACATTAATTAAGAATAATAAATTTTGCATTTTTAGGTAAGGTATTAGATGAGTGCATAGCAGATAAAATTCAAAACTTGAAACAAAAGAAAAGAAATTTTCAATTTAAATATCCTAAATTTGAGTTGCAAGATGTTCTCACTCAACGATTCCCGCAGCTATGAATTGAAAAATAGCACAATATCATAAAAATTACTATTACTAACCTCCAAATTTAGACCTAAATTACAGCCTCAGCCTTAAGCATCGCTGTCGTTGCTGTCTTCATCATTACCTTTGTTTCCAAGATCGTTCGCAATGTAAACCCCAGGCTGGACCACCCGCCTCCGTGTCCTCGACGGCAAAATATTGTCCGTATCAACCTCAGCCAACGGATCGTCCGATAAATCGCTGTCACCGTCTGATTCTTCCTCGCTATCGCTGGAATCATCATCATCGTCGTCGTCGTCGTTGTCATGACTATCATCCTCCTCTTCAATTAAAATTCCCTTCCCTTTTCTGTCCAGATGAGCGTTGCCATTCACAGCTTCGTCATCGTCTTCATCCTCGTAGTCACCATCTCCGTCTTCTTCCTCAGCATCAATTTCAGGTTCTTTTTCCCTGGTTTTTAATTTGGCAACTGAGGATTCGTAGTTACCAGAGGCTCCCAAGTTATTGTTCTCGTGGGTGTCAATTTTAGGGGCTTTCAGTGGGGAACACTCGTGGTCTTGGGAACTGAGATCAGCCTTGCGTTTGGTGGTGGGCAATGCAGGTTCTTTCCCGCTCTTCGTTTCTGCCATGGATTCTGATCGTGTGGGGAATAGATAGGTGGATTCAGAGGAAATTTTAGGGTTTTTGGAAAAGATACCAAAAAAAAAGAAAAAGGTTAAGGGTTTTTTCAGTGACTGAAGGATGGGTCTTTAATACTGCAAGTTCGCTTTAAGTGAAATGTAGTACATTGTGGATTGCTCTTTTTTGCCATGTGTGGTGGTTGGTGAATTGCACTTTTCTCTCATTCTTGTTTAGTATAATTGTTGTAATTTTTTTTATTTCAATAAATTTTGAAA